AATCTCCCGAAAACCAGCTTTGAAAAAGGAGCAGTATTTTCAACGTTTTCAGAACTGAAGGCTGCAATTAAGAGATGGGAAGGGTTAGGGTTAGGACTATTTTTACGACTATTCAGTTTTTAACTTCGCCGATGGAGGGCTGTGAAAGCATCGTCGAAACAATAGCCGGAGGACTATTTTTACGACTCGGAAGAGTTACGCACTTCTTAGGAACGCGTGACTGTCGCAGTCAAAATATGTCTGTCGTTAGAACATAATTAAACTATTAACAATCGTAACACTTGCACATAGTGTATAGTCATATATTTTATAAAATACATGCAGTATTACCTATTAATCTCAATGCTGTTCCAAATCAGAACGTATGATTTGGTTGCTTCTGGGATGAAAATCAACCTGACATTAACCATACTAAACGAGATCTTATGTACCGACATCTTTTGGCTAAATCGAGCAAGTTCAAATCAATAAAACCTCCTGACTTAAACCTGCATGTTCTTTAAGGCATCACAGTTGATTTGTTTTCAATATAAATGCTGCCATTGTGTCCTTCGAATTGATAAGTTTTGGCTGTAAGAATTAGATCACCGTGAAGTATGTCTCTTTTTTTCAACTAAACCGCTTTCAAGTCTTCAAAACGTGCTTCTAGTCATTTCCTGCTTTTAACATGAAAACATAACATACCAGTGGAACCGTCAGGCATTTTAAAATAGAACCTAATCCCAGACCAATTCCTTCGAATGCACTTTTTGACTGTCTTAAGTATATTTGGTGTGTGCAATGAAATAGCTGAGGGTCTCTACACTAAGCTGTGAGTTGCAATTGACCAGAGCTGTTTTTGTATGGGGATATATCTCCAATGTTGTTAATACCCCATATCATTGGACCCTTACGAATAGACAACATCAAGGGTGTTAATATTCGGCCAAAGAATAAAGGAACCGTTGTGTGTTTGATATGCATTTACATGCTTCAAAATAGAAACCCACTTGATCCCGACAGATTAGACTGTCGGCTCCGTTTTATTCAGCTTAATTTTCGAATCTGTAGAAAAGAATCTCGTTAGAGATAAGTATACTAGAACACAAAATTATATACCATGTGAACTTCCTACCCACATAAATAATAAATGGCATAAGCTGTTCCTGTAATAGTAAATTACTAAATTAAACAGTGGTTGGGGTTTTGATTCTAAAAAGCCTATTATACGCTACTTGTTAGAAAGTAACCTCCACTAACAAAGATATTTAAAGGGGACGTTCCAGTTTTCACAGGATGTCAGAAATAAAAGTTTGTAAGTATGGAAACTATAGTCAAAGTATTGATGTAAAGTCTGTTTGAAAAATTAGCTAAAATATCTAGATGATCGCCAAAACTGGTTAAACAGACTACATAAGTCTTTTAGAGCCCGGGCCTGCTGGTTAACATTGTGTGACCTATTAAACGCGATTATTTTATTTATAGTTTTCGCAACTTTAAACCACAGAAGAGTGCAAAAAAAAGCGACATCCTATGGTAAAAATGAAATGGGGTTTAACGGCCTACTGTCCTGCTCCTATACTGGGCTAATGAAGACGGGCATATGCCATACAGTGTGCTATGAGGAAAATTTTGCCCGGGCAGCGACACTATCGCCTACTCTTATATCGAATTCCAACTGCCAATGGATCTTTTACGTGCATTCCAATGTAAACACGGGACCTCGGTTTTTCGCCTCATCCGAAGGACTAGACAGCTGTCCTTGTCAGGGGGTTGGATGGCTTAGTGGTTAGCACATGCGCGCTGTATCATTAAGCCTGTCATTGAGTCAACTGGCGTGGTTTCGAATCCTCGGTTGTACGTGACAAGGAGTAGGGTCGCCTGTCCAACCTCGTGGGTTTTCTCCGTGTCCTCCGGTTTCCTCCCACTGCTAAATACCCCTACGCGCAAGCGAATTATGAAAATAAAATTGAACCATATGTTAGTCCCGAAATGACCTAGTCTGTGTCAAGTGGACGTTAAACCCCATTTCTCTCTCTGTCCTTGTCAGGCCCTCCGTTCTGCACCACTGACAAGGGGAAACCACGTCGGAAAATCTGGATGAACTTTCTCTGCCAATGCAATGATCGAACACCCGACCTCCAGGCTAGCGAGCCAGCGTCTTAACCACCTAGCCACCGTGGCTCCACATCCTATGGTTAACATTTCGGTGAGGTACAAACAATGAAAAAGAAATAATCTGTGAGTCACTAACGAGAATGTTTGTATCGTCGTAGAGAAAAAAAAACCAAGATGGAACGATTTATGACAAATCGAGTTGTCAGAAGAGAAGCATAAATTTGTGTGATTGTGGTTGAAGGATTGGTAAGCTAATATTTTCTTAAACTTTGTAGCTTAAAAACATCGTCAAAAATGAAATCAATATTATTAAATATAGCCCTCAGTAGACTAATAGTGTCCCAATATGAATTAATTTGCGCTATTTTGTCAATAATAAGTTACTCGAATGACGTCTGAATACAGAATTGAAGATAAATGTTTTTGAATTAATAATGATCGTTCTTTGACATTTTCCGTTATATTTATATCATCGTTAATATTGTGCATTATCTCTTTCATCCACTTAATTTATTATCATTGCTGGTGTTGTATTGTTATGAACGAACAAATTTCATGAATCTGAATTTGAGGAAATAAGTATATTTATTCATTATAATTATTTTCAATTGTCTTAATTTCCTATATTTCAGATACAATTTCACAGACCTTGTAATGTGACCATCTGCTATAATACATAATGTATTTATATATACCATACTATCACTTAATCCCCAAAAGTTGTGAATTCAAGTTTGATGTATGGTCAGTCTGCATCAGATCAACATAGGTTGTATTATATCAGGTAGGTTTTCAAATTACATGAATATCTGCATATATAGAAGATGTTGGAATTAAAGAATGTCAGACTTTAATGTGGTATTAATCGTTGGTTATTGTATAATTGAGTTGTTAGACGTCAGCAATCATCCCTGTGAATGTATTGTATTTAACTGAACAGTTTCGTTTTTGACTGGAACATAATTGCAACGTCTTCACTGTGATAATATAGAAAAGCATTTTGAGAAATTTGTTTTGGGGGTAGCCACTGATTTCAATGGGCATCATAAAACAGCACAAAAACATCAGTTTTGTTAACAATCTCTTTGATAATTACCAAATAAAAAATACCCACCAAAGTTGGTCTCGGCGGCTGTACCATATACCATGTACAAAATACCGGAAATGTACCGAAAACATCTTTTGGATACTAATTACAGAAAAAAATCCGAAAATCCCTAGATAGCGAAAAATCCCTAAATACCGAAAAAAACAACACTAATTACCAAACAAAACACACTAGGCCACGCATAAAAAATGTGGGGAACTCTAGGTCACGTATGAAAATGGTAGACACTCTAGGTGGGTAATGGGCCATGCTGGGCCACACATAAATATAGTGGTAGAGTGCCCCACCATAAATAATATCTCCAAATATCTCGACAATTACACCACAATATCTATATATACACCAAGCCTTAAATCAGCTTCAAACATGTATAGTCACTAAATAAACGGTCATGCTGTACTTAATAAGCTATGACCATTTAATCATCCATAAATAATATACTGAAAGATGGTTCCGAGTATCGGCCATAACACCCGAGCAAAAAATAGGTTACGTGCCCTTGTTTTGAAAGTAGTCTCGCTTAACCCGTCTACCTACCATTCTTCGTTTGGTTAACAGGTCGGGATAATCAAGACTACTTTTTATACGCCCACATTTTCATGTTGACGTATTATGCCGTCGCCCCTGTCCGTCCGTCCACAATTTGTTTGTGGACACTCTACAGGTCACCATTCTTATCCGATTTTGACGAAACTTGAAATATAGGTTTATCTCCAAAAGATCTCGGTTCCTTTCGATATTGGCATGTATTGGATCGAAACTTCATGGATTATGGCCCCTGTTTGTACGAAAAATCACGTTTTTAGATTGTGGACACTATAGAGCACACAATTTTTATCCGATTTTGTTGAAACTTGATATCTAAGTTGATAATCCAAAGATCTCGGTTCCTTTCGATATTCGCGCATATCGGACCGTAACTTCCTGAATTATGGCCCCTGATTGTACCAAAAATCGCGTTTTTAGCTTGTGGACCCTATAGAGGTCATAATTTTTATCCGATTTAAAAAAAACGTATTATTATATCACCGTTACACCCTAAGGACGAATGATTTCGAATTTCATGAAAATCGGCCCAAAATTGACAGACAAAATGGCCGCCGTTCGTTCTCAAATAGCGTAAAAAATGGTATATCAAGGTTGTGGACCCTATAGAAGTCACAATTTTTCTCCGATTTTGTTGAAACTTGAAATGTAAGTTTATAACACAAAGATCTCGGTTCCTTTCGATATTTGCGCATATCGAATTGTAATTTCCTGAATTATGGCCCTTGATTGTAGGAAAAATCACTTTCTTCTTAGCTTGTTCTCTATCCATCTCTTGCAAAATGTGGGCGTATCCTGCCTGGCAGCAGCTGGTTTACGAAACATAACAGAAAGCTGGAACAATAAATTGAATTTCGAAACACGCACGTTGGGCAACTCAACGATTGTTTTAAGAACCTCTTAAAAGTAAAATGAAACTACTGCTAGTATCATGCTCTTGCCCAACGCAAGTATTTCAGAGATATTATTTGTACTAAACCAAAATATGCCGCTCCTTATGGTACAGTTAATGATAAAGCAATTTAGAAAATAAAACGAACGTAATTTCTAAAGCTGCTGTAATAACCAATAAGCTAAATATTAGTGCTATTCAGAATCGTCAACAGTAGATTTTTTACGGTTGTAATAGTTGATAGATGTGTAGAGAATTGCACGTGTGATGGCTATTTATAGTATCATAGACTCTTCCGCTGAATGTTATCATAGTGCGTAGTGTATGCGAGAAATCAGTTCAAGATCAGTCACTGAAGCGTGTATATTCGACGTGTCGAGACCAACTTTCTGTACGGTGCACGGGTCACCCTAATAGTGGGACACTCTAGGTTAGTCATGGGTCATAATAGGTCGCACATAAGACGTGGGGCACTGTAGGTGGGTTGTGGGTCAGACTAGGCCACTTATAAAAATTGTGGGGCACCCTAGGCACGTTAGGGTTTTTTTCAGACGATAATTTCTCCCGTTTACACCATTCACCACGGCATGTTCTTTATGAACTCGTGGTTTGTGTTCAGCATTCAACCGACCGTCGATATGCCACGTTTGAAAGTAACAAAGAAAAGGAGAGAAAAAGTCGGAGCATCCTAAAAGTTCAGTCTCTTCCTGATAAACGGCACAAGGGATTAGGGCTGCATTCCCGAAAATACATATAAACATTGGTTTCATTGCACATGTACACATATTGAAGAACTACTTTGGGTCTTTAGTGGTGACTTTACTTTCAACTATGGTGGATAATTACTTAGGTGAGTAGATTACTACTAGTTTTATTTGAAACTTTAACTCGTGTAATCCCCGAGTTTCAGATATTAGCCATAAATGTAGCTAGATTAAGTCCGTATGACGTTGGCGAAGCACACTCGCAAAATGGTCTCTGGGTGGACTTAAGAGATCATCTATTTAGATGTCAAAATCTTACAGAGCAGCCAAAAAAATCATACATGGCCGTTTCTGTGTTGATATATGGATATTTTAAAGTTACCCTGATTTGAATTATGGACGCAATATTCAGGCGAATTGATCAAAGTTCAAAATTAACATTGGCCTTAGTACACTGAATTATATGCAATGTGTTTATATCTCAAATTATTTATTTTCTAAAGTGGCCTGGAAGCGATCAGTTTTCCACCACTGATGTCCTATTGTGTCATGGTCCAGCATCGATGGTCTGTGGCCATGTCGACCACTGAAGGTGTGCGTGCCCCAGTCCACCACTGATGATCTGTGGCCCAGTCCACCAGTGATGGTCTGTGTGGACCAGTCCGCCACTGAATGTCTATTGTATCATCATAATACACCAGGGATGGTATGTTCCAGTCCACCACTGATGGTCTGCGTGAACTAGTCAACCACTGAATGTCTATTGTGTGATAGTCCACCGCAGTTGGTATTTGTGTTGCTGTCCACCACTAATGGTATGTGGCCCAGTCTACCAATGGCGGTCTGTGACACAGTCCACCACTGATTGTATGTGACCCAGTCCACCACTGATTGTATGTGACCCAGTCCACCATTGATGGAAATAAATGAAATGAAATGGGGTTTAACATCCCACAGCTCTGCTTCGACTGGGCTACTGAAGACGGAAATACGCCATGCAGTGTGCTATGAGGGAAATTGTGCTCGGACAACGACACTACGGTCTACTCTTATATCGACTTCCAACTGCCAAGGGATCTTTTACGTGCACGCCAATGTGTACACGGATCCTTGTTTTTCGTACCGCCATAACGAGTATACACTGTCCCTTGTCGGCCCTCTTTTTTGCACCATTGACATCCCGACGAACATGCGACCTCCGGATTAGCGAGTCAACACTCAACCGCTGAGCCACCGTGGCTTCCCGTGCCCACCGCACTCGTCCCGTGAATGAATACCACCAGCGTAACCATATAGAGCATGCCTGGGACATGATCGGGAGACGTGTTCGTAGACGTCAACGTCAACCGACAACACTGCAAAAATTGGCCGTGGCACTGCAAGAGGAGTGGGTCAGATTACCCCAAATTGTGATTGGACGGTTGATTAGGAGCATGCCACGACGAATTGCTGAATGTCTGGGAATTGTTGGAGCAATTACTCATTATTAAGACAAAAATCAAAAACGTCCATTTCCACTTTTGACAGTGTATTTCTTTGCGAGTGAAATGGTGCCGTCAGATAAGCCGCCCATATGAACCGTTTATGTTCATGTGTAGGTAATTGGCCTATTATTAACATTCACTGGTTTCCTCTAATAAAAACAGCAGTGCATTTCCGCAGTTTTGTATTGTTTCTAAATATCCCCTACTTTTTTTGAAGAGTATATAATCCGTCCATCCAATGTATGAATGATACTTTCCCACAAAGGTATTTATCGGGTGGTTATTTCCAATAAAAGGTATGGCAGTTTTGACATGTTGAAAGCAGAGATACCCAATCTTACTAAAACAATGAAACAATGCTGGATTCCTTGAAAAACATCCATGGAGCGCGCACATGACAAAAACAAGAGGGTATCACTAATTGTCAGCCTAACGATTAAGGGTTTTCTGCTCGAGTGACGCCAAAGGTTGCACGCGTAGATTATCGGACCTCTTTGCGTTAAGGAGCGCTTGATGTATAATATGTTGATGAACTTGATAGTGAGCGGACGTGGACAAAATGAGAGACTTAAACGTACACCAGTTTCTGAGATAAAAACCACGGGACAAAACATGGGCAGGGGGTAATCCGAGAATTTATGTGTGTGAAATAGCTTTATTTAACGCCCGCTTCCACCGAAGTGATATCGCAGACAATTACATTTTATATTTACTTAGTGAAAATATTTACAATGTGATTAGTGGAGAAATTAAAGGATAGTTAGGATTTTATATATATGTATATTTATATACAATAGATAGGAGGACGAGACATGATATAATAGGTGCAAATTAATGAGGCGCCAGTAGGGACGATCACAGACATTGACAACGAGTTGTGACAAAACAGACATAAACATGGACGAACATTTAGACAGACATAGACATTTATATAGGGACATTTTGACAAAACAGACAATTATGTACATGTATATATTTATTGGGTCGTTTGTGTTGTCTGGTCGTTCTGTCCGGTTGAATGGCAGGGTGGTGCAACTCTTCCTTGGTAGACTTCGATATTTATGGTAAATGGACAATGATTAAAGACAACATAGTCTTTTATATGCACTGAATTCTCCTCCGGCTTGGCGCCCGTTGCTAGTTACCGCGACAGCGAAGTCACGTTACACAAACATTTCTTTTAATAGATATTTGTATAGCTTTGATAGTGATCTGAAGCAATTTTTTTGCTAGATTAATTAGTTTGAATATGTTTTAGTCCAAATATATTATCAAATCACCCAATTTGTACACTGGATGGTATCTTTAATTTTAAATGTAAAAACGGGGTTTAACGTCCATTCGACACAAAGCAGGTCCTTTCGGGACTAACATATGGTTCATATTTCAGTAATTCGTTTGGGCGTAGGGGTCGTTAGCAGTGGGAGGAAACCGGAAGACATAGAAACCATACCACTTGACGCAATGACAGACCGAATGATCCAACGCACACGCATTAACCATTCGGCCGTAACCCCCAAGATGTAATAAGAATCCACATTATTCAATAAAACATAAGGAGACTAAGATTGGTTTGTCTTATTCTAAAGGGTAAATACGTAAGGGTTATCGACTGAGACAGAGGGGTTTAAGTTAGATGAACACCCGAGCTCGTGCAGAGTTGTACACTGAGAACGCGCAGCGTTCAATTGCACGAGCTCGGGTGTTTATCTAACTTGACCCCTAGGTCAAGGTCGATAACTCACTTACACACTGGATTCTTTGTTTGTGTAAGAAGTTGAATGAATGAAAGAAAATGGGGGGATACGGGACGCAAGATTATCACGGACACTTTATCACTCAAAATCGCTTTACCAATTCGTCTATAACAGGTATCAATACATTATTCTGCACGTCATATATTGTTGTTTACTCAGCAGATTGGAGAGGGGTCCATAACCTGAATATAGCCAGTTTATGTCTGTTTATTTACGATGCATAAAAATCAGATCATTCTAATGTTAGGTTTTTAAAATACAATTTTAAGAAATTGAGATTGGTGTACCGATAAATATATTTTATGCCTATTTGCTTATTTCGGGTTTTCGACAATTTTTTATACGCCCACATGTCCTATTGTGGTCGCCCCCGTCTATCAGTCCACCCGTCTGTTATCCACGCTCTGGAACGCTAAACGATTAAGGTCACTAGGAGAATAATCAATGATTTCCGATAACAATTTTGTATACTAAATGCTAGTATAAGGCAGAACTGGAAGGCAAACGAGTCTGACTGCTCGGGCGACTTACCTACTGTGGGTGTATGTGGGGGAGATTGGTTGGTCGAATGGTTAGTGCATGCACGTTGCATCATAACGTCTGTCGTTGAGTCAACTTGCGTGGTTTCGATTCCCCGGTTGTACGTAACAATGGGTAGGTTCACCCGTCCAACCTCGTGCGTTTTCTCCAGGTCCTCCGCCCCCGCCCCCCACTGATAAAAACACATGCGCGCAAGCGAGTTATTGAAATAAAATGGAACCATGATAGTCTCGAGATGACCAAGTTTGAGTCGAGTGGACGTTAAACCCCATTTCTTCCTCTCTCTGTGGGCGTATGTTTCGTTGCCTGCCAATCTATTTTTAAAATCCACAACAGGCCAATGGATAATGTATTATTTATTTTAATTAGAATAGACATCGAAAGGGAACGATTAAAACTATCTAAAAAATAAAATGGCCAAACAGAAATTTATCCCAGTTCGCTAGGTTTTGTGTATTTGTTCATTATACTATTGGATGAGTTTTCTAGCTAATGTTACTATTTCACTAGTTACTTTAGTAACGAAAATATGAGAGTCCTAGTACCTGCTGACTCTCTTCGTTACTGGTGAGCTTTAATGACAACTAGTATGGAAATAAGACTTTTCCTCATCTCGGTTCTAAGGCTATTTTGGAATCCTTACCGTCTATTTTTCACCGTGATTCTTCTTTGATCACCAACAGGAATCATTTCCTGACACATCCGACACAAATTTATAATAATCCAACACTATTTTCATGTAGAATTGCACGATACAAAAACACAAACAATGTTCATTTGAATGCGGCGGCCATTGTAAACTGACGCCTGCGCAGACCGGTTCATAACTGCGCTCAGTTATGTTGTACCGCAATTAACAGACTAAACTTATAAAATCTATAATATTGAACAAGATTTTATATTGACCTTTATAAGATATTTAAAATCTCCTAAGAATCAAAAAATACTTTAAATTTAATATAGGAATACAAGATTTAATTAAATGATGTCAAGTAAAATAAAAAATGTAGCCTATCACAACCATTCAACACACATGAACAATTACTACATAAAATCCATCCAATAGACTAACACATTTTATCAAAATAAAAATGAATCTCAAATATTCAATAAATAAATAAAAATGAATATAATGATGTAAAAAAACAAAAAAAACCCACAAAAAACACAAATTTTAAAAATACTGGAAATAAATAAGAGAGGAATGTAAAAGTATTGGAAATATTTGTTTTAAAAATTACAAAGACAAACGTACATGTACACTAATACATCTGTACATTGTGATAGGCTACATTTTTTATTTTACTTGATAATTGATATCATTTAATTCAATCTTGTAATTCTATATTAAATTTAAAGTATTTA